GAGAGCCGATGAGCCAGGGCGACGGGGAGGATCCGGAGGTCCTAGGTGGAGCAGATGGTGCCGGCGACCGACGCGAAGGCGTGGATCCGGGAGGCCGTGGTGGAGCCGGAGCGACAGAGGACTGAGGAGGAGCCGAGGGGATGAAGGAGCCTGACGGAGCCGCAGGGACGAAGGGATGAGGCGAAGCCAGAGGAGTTGAGTCCCGAGGTGCAGGATGGTCGACGCCAGACCAAGGCGGAGCCTGAGGGACAAGGGCGCACGGCGGAGCTAGTGGACTGCCGGGCCACGGCGGAGAGGAGGGAGCTAGGAGCCATGGTGAAGCCGACAGGTCCATGGGCCGAGGCGGAGTCCAGGGCTTAGAGGCTGGAGGCGGAGTCAAAAGAAACTCCAGCCACAGCGACGCTGGAGGATGGCAGTCACGCGGAGCTCGCACCGCATAGATGGTGGGCTGAGGGTGAGCAGAGGGGCTGCCAGACGACAGCGGAGGAGGAGGCAGGAGCGGGTGGGAGGGTGGTCGCTTTGAGAGACCTTTTTTGTACTTGACTGACTTTACTTGCTCTGTCTCCCATATGGATTTTTCTTTTAGAGTGTGATTGAATCATCTATGGTATGTTCACAGTGTAAAATTTGATTACAACGGGCAACATACAATTAATCTATGGAACGTACAGTCACTAGGGGCCAAGGGTCAGGTGTCAGCCATGGTCACATCCCAAGAACTGACTCGGCATTCAAAACATATACACTGCAACTGAAAATTCCAGATGGTGCAGCATCAATGTGGAGTCCATCATATATCCTTCATGAAGGCCACAGAGCGTCAGTGTATAAGCAAACTAAATCCTTCAGAATTGCTTTCACAGCATGAACTGAATATATATGGTGAACTTTATCAAATCAAGGTCTGTGCTGATTGATTTCAAGCCACAAAATGGGTTTTTCATTGACAACAGGGTAAAAAAAAAGTGAAATGTGTCAACATTTGCTGGTTTCTTGTGCAACTATGCTCAAGTATCAATACCATGAGAGATTAAGAATGAAAAAAAAAGATATTTTACTTTCTGGGCTGACAGCTGTGTGAAATACACGTTTAGCAAAATCCCCATGCAAGGGGTCTTCACCCTTTCCGCTGCACCAGTGACCTAAAACAAATCTACTCTACCTGAAATCAGTTCACTGAGGATTTGATAAGAACATAGTACAGAAATGTAAGCTGCAAGTAAGAGTCAAGCTGAACAGTCAATGCCTCTATGTGAAATAACTAGAAAATGAACCGGTCACATGTCACATTTGTCTTGTTGCTGAGCAAATCATTTTTCTGTTGGACAGATCCTGAAAAAGACGTATAAGGGAGAGAGCTTAAATGTGTAATTTTTTACTTAAATTGTCCTCTACATTTAAGAAATGTGCTAGAGGTTAAATTAATAGACATAATTATAATTCAAGTGTGTGCTATCAGTTGTAATTAGGATAACTTGTCTTTAAAGGGTAAGTTCACTAAAAATTTTTAATTCTGTCATTAATTACTCACCGTCATGTTGTTCCAAACCTGTAAGACCTTCGTTCGTCTTCGGAACACAAGATATTTTTTATGAAATCCGAGAGCTTTCTGACCCTGCATAGACAACAATGCAACTACAATGTTCAAGCCCCAGAAAGGTAGTCAGGACATCGTTAAGATAGTCCATGTGACATCAGTGGTTCAACCTTAATTTTATGAAGTTACAAGAATACTTTTTTTTTTTTTTTAAATAACGACTAAATTTATTCTCTTCTGTGTCAGTCTTTGATGCGCGTTCGCGACTTCATAAAATAGCTTCATAAAATTAAGGTTGAACCACCGATGTCACATGGACTATTTTAACGATGTCCTTACTACCTTCTGAGCCTTAAATGTGGTAGTTGCATTGCTGTCTATGCAGCTTTGGAAAGCTTTCGGATTTCATCAAACATATCTTAATTTGTGTGAATGAACGAAGGTCTTACGGGTTTGGATTGACATGACTCAATTTTTGGGTGAACTATAATTTAGCTTAAGAGACTTCTTTCAAAAATAGAATTACATTTAAAATCAATTAAAATAGAATGTTTTAAAATATTTCACCATATTACTGTTTTTACTGTATTTTTGGTCAAATAAATGCAGCTTTGGTGAGCATTAGAGACTTTTTCCAAAAACAAATAGTATAATGTAAATAGTATACTCTTTGTATGTAAAATTAAAAATATTGTTAAAGCAATACATTAATTTATCATTAAACATTAATCAACAAAAATATATGCTTCATGTAACATTGGTTATACATATTCACAATACAGTAACTGAGCCTCACTAGGGACCTACACAACAATACAGATTCATTGTTGCCATATAGCTTTGAAACTGATATGGAGACAGATGATGAGTAACCACAGAACTGGAAACGAGATTAAACACTTGTGTGGGGGGTCTCTGTGGAATAGGGTCAAGATCCAAAGACAGAATTAAAGAATAGAGGCCAGCAGGACTGTACCTTGCTTTAAATTCAATCAGATTGTCCTCATGAAAACCGGTGGCTGATCTTTACTCAGCTGTCCTTCAGAAAAGGACAAGCCATTTCAGTCGCAAGCCTAACAGAAGAAGACTCCAATGAGATAACATGTCTGAAGTTATGAAGATACATTTTCCTGTTAAATGCTGAGCATTTTTGAGACAGATTTTCAGTGTGGTGCTCACCTGTGCAAAACTCGACTGGTGTAGGTGGGTCGTTGTTATGCAGTTTCCATTTAGCATTAATGAATGGTTGCTAGGGTGTTTTAGGTGGTTGCTAGGTGCTTACTTACTGGCCCAAGTCAAAAGAGCTGTCAAATCTCTATGGTATTCTGGTCCCTAAACAGTAAGCGCCACTAAAGATTGTTTTGAAAGTGCAGCAGAGTCTGTTTACACTCTGCAGGAAGTCATCCTATAAATGGTTTGCTTACAGTTGTCACTGCATATTAAACCCGGGTAGAAGAAAGTATTTTAAAATCAAAAATATGCATTTCGCCTTAAAAAAATAAAATAAAAAATCTGTCACACAGGTTTATTTTGCCCACTGATCCTTACAGGCTGACTGTTTTGAGTTATAAAACAAGGTCTTTTGGTTTGTGCAGAAGAGATGAGTCAGTGACGGTCGGTTATTGCCTTTGAGGTTAGCAATAGCCTACAGTCCTTGCAATATTCCCCACAAGTCTCAGCTACCATATTGCACCTTTATTCTGCTAATATCTTTAAATCATTTTCTTTTTGTCTGCCTGTTAGCCGTGTTTGAAGCCCACCTGACTTGATGCTGAATAATCTCCTGAATGTAGCAATCAAGTCTAGACATATTATATATAAGGCTATTGAATATATATGAATATATTAATATTTTAAAGGATTCATTGGAAAATAATAAACATCCAGCACTTCAAAGAATGAGCACTCTGCTGACTGTCTACATTTTTATTGCTTGATCCGCAAAAAATAAATAAATAAATAAATAAAGACATGAGATATATGATAAAGAACTGTTTTTGGCAATCACTTACTTTTTATACTACAGCTTAAATAACTATATATATATATATATATATAT